CGAAAATCTCCTCATCCTCGTCATGTTCCTCCGTCTCCCCCTCTCCCTCTTCCACTTCCCGTTTCCTCCTGCTCCTCCTCGTCCTCAGCACCCTGCTACTCCTACCCCTCCCCCCCCCGCCCCCCTCCACGTCATCAGGATCCTCATCCTCCTCCTCATCATCCTACTCCGTTGCCTCTATTCCCAATCCTTATCATTATCCTCACCGCTCGCCGTCGTCGCCAATTATGACCGCTATCGTGCGCTTCCGGCAACAACGGAAGCGTCCCGGATCGGCGACACTGGCCGGAGGCCACTACAATCCGCCGACCCCAGAGGCGTGTGAGACTGCGGACTACGGCCACCAATGTTGGGCCTATCCTACGATTTCTCGCCCAACCCCGACAAACACCCCTCACGTTTCACCGGCATCCCCACACCATGAGACCTCAGTTCTTGGGACCCCCCACCAGACAATTCCTGGCCTGACACCCACCGGTACCCCCCACCATCCCCCAGCATCCCCACACCACGAGAACTGAGGTTTGGCCCCCGCCAACCGACGATTCCTAGCCTGAACCCCACCGATACCCCCCACAATGCCCCGGCATCTCCACAAAGTGCGGACTATGGCCACAGATCTTGGGCCTATCCTACGACATCTCGCCCAACCCCGACAAACACCCCCCACCTTGCCCCCGCATCTGCCCCAGCATACCCACCCCACGAGAACTCATTCCTGGCACCCCCCACCCGACCATCCCTAGCCTGAAACCCACCGATATCCCCCACCATGCCCCGGCATCCCCACCCCACGAGAACTCAATTCTCAGGACCACCAACCCGACAATTCGTGGCTTGAAACCCACTGATACCTCCTACCATGCCCCAACACCTCCACCCCACGAGAACTCCGTTCGCGGTGCCCCCCATCCGACAAGTCCTGGCTTCACACCCACCGATAACCCCCACCACGCCCCTGCATCCCCACCCCACGAGAACTCAGTTCCCGGCACCCCCCACCCGACCATTCATGGCCTGGAACCCACCGATATCCCCCTGGCATGCTCACCCCACGAGAACTTAGTTCCGAGGGCCCCCCACCCGACAACGTGGCTTGAAACCCACTGATACCCCCCACCATGCCCCAGCAGATCCACCCCACGAGGACTTCTCTCTTGGTACCCCTATCCGACAATTCCTGGCTTCACAACCACCGATACCCCCCACCAAGCACCCACCCTGACCTCCACTCTGCTCAAGCCCATCCCTCGGGATCTCCGTTCTTGGGACCCCCACGCCCGACAATTCCTGGCCCAGTAGCAGCAGTGGTAAGGGCGGCCCCAGCACCTTGGAATGAGGCCCTTCCTCGTTTTCTCGGGCTCAGCAGAACAGCATTTTGAACAAGAGGGCCGAACTCGCTCGAGAAGCCTTCACGTCCTCGCACTTCGCGGCTAATTCCGGCTGGAAGGTGGTGACGTTTTCGTCCAGCTACGGGAGGGACCCCTCGGTAGGTGCCAGCATTCCTGTTGGAGGGGGTAGCGAAAACTGCAGGTAGATCAGAGGCAGCCTACAGCGGAGCGCTGGGTACACAAGGGTAATGAGACGGTTCTAGATGCGACTGGAAGCTGCGAACAGCTTCAGTGTGTTAGCGTGCTACACGAGGGTAGTGAGACGGTTCTAGATGCGACTGGAAGCTGCGAACAGTTTCAGTGTGTTAGCGTGCTACAAGAGGGTAGTGAGACGGTTCTAGATGCGACTGTTTTCGTCCCGCCTTGTTCTCTTGACGGCTGCCGCTCGCGCCGCGGCGTCAGTGGCATTGAGACCGCCCCAAAGCGGACCCATTGGCATCCCTCCCCCCGGTGGCCCTACCGGGCGACCGATCGGGGTTTCATCCTGTTCCCATTCACTGCGAACCTCTTCCGCCGAACGAGAATGGGCAGATTCACTATGGTGTCACCGTCCAGTATAGCTAGGTAGCGCATCGTTGGATAACATTCGGCCGTCATGAAGGCAGCGTAGAGAAATCTGAATTGTGCCCGATTATGATCTTCTTCGAATCTTCGTCGTTCCAGCTCTTTTTCGGCAGCCTGTTCCCTCTTCTTTTCCGCCAGTTTGGCAGAGCGGTCTAAGGCGCTGGCTTAAGGCGCCAGTCCGCAAGGGCGTGGGTTCGAACCCCACAGCTGTCACTATCTGGTTCTCTGAACATTCCCAATCGGGCAGTGGACCTGGTACTGCTGACGCAGAACTACGAATACGAGAGAAACTGTCCAAAACTGAGGGAGGGCGATGATCGGAAGAGCGACCGGGTCAGGAGTCGTGACGGACGTGACAAAGACAATTCGGGGGGGGACAAGCTGTGTTTTGATTTCATTTTGGGAAAGTGCACTGGCTCCTCGTGCCCGAAGAAGAGGAAGAAAGAGAAGGATAATCAACACAATTTGAATAGTAAAGAGCCCTCCCACAAAGTGCCCTGCCCACCCATGAACATGATTGCCTTGCATACGCACGCAAGTGAAGT